ATGAATCTCAAAGAAGAAAAAAAAAACGAAACATGAATTTGGCCCTGAAATTAGTTAGATACATTTGTCTGTGTGCAAGTGTGAGCATGCCCTCAAGGAGGGCTGTTCTTCACGGGATGTGCCCTGCCTCACTGGCAGGGGAATCTAAAAACAAAAGCAAAAAAAATAGACATCCGGAATCTACCTGAAATACTAGTTAGAAGCATTCCACCAAGAACAGAGGTGATCACGACCCCCGCCCAGGTTGTTGTTGCCTCCAGCAAAGAAACTCGCTAACGCTCTCCATAGATGGGCCCACGGTGACTCTCACTGGCACAGTTACTCAGGTTATGGAAAGGGCAAAACGAGCGGGTTGCGAGGCATCAGAGAAGTGGCGGAGGCCATTCATCCATTGGATCTGAATGTTGTTGGCTTTGGGGGGGGTCGAAGACCGTCATCATCGAATGTGGCAGTTTGAGGGGTTGGGTTTTCCAAATTGCTGGGGGTTTATTGACTGCCCCATGTGTATGTGGATGAACCCCGATCGAAGGATGACGACGACTATTGCTCCGGACGGAACAACCGGTTCTCGATCGTTGCGCAACTGGTGGTGGATTCGGAGCTCAAAATCCTTGATTTCTGCTACGGCTTTCCGCGGATTGTTGGGGATGCACATGTTTTGAAAAACACGTCATTGTACAGGCGAGCCCTGAAGGGATCACTGTTCGTAGACGATCCTGAAGATCCATTTGTGGCCGAACGGCCTTTTCCATCTTTGGTGTGCCCGGCAGGTACTTGCTTGGCGATGGCGGGTATCCTAATCTTCCTTGGCTTGTCATTCCATACGGCCGTCAACCACGAATCATGCGGGCGATGCAGTAGTTCGACGCTCTTCACAAAATAGTCAGGTGTTGCGTGGAGCGATTCTTCGGGGTGTTCAAGATGCGCTTCCAATTCTTCTATCGTCCATATATTACCGACATTACGAGGGAGAGGTTGGAGTTCCGCGCCTGTTGTATCCTCCATAACCTGCTTCAGGATTGGGGTGATATGCCCGAAGCAGATGAAAAAGTGAGCGATGCTTTGTCTGGTGGGACCTGTCCACATCCGGATGTGGATAGGCGTGTGGACGGTTGTCCACTTGCATCCATGCTCGGTCGGGAACGTGGCCAGACCGTGAGAGACGCACTGTACACCTAGGTCCTCCGTTTGTGGGAAATCCGACGGGAAGCTTGACAAGAAATCGTGGCTCTATGTTCTCCTTCGGGTCTGTTTATTGGTATATTAGGCTGTTAACTGACATTTCGTTAAAACTGACATTTTTTTCCAAAAACACGAAATTGGACACCGTTAAATTTCTTGTGTTTTATGGTGCAAAAGCCGGTGTTGCACGACTTGTGGAACATACATCATAGATCATAGGTCATACATCATACACCATTGATCATAGATCATACATCATACATCATAGATCATATATCATATATCATACATCATACATCATACATCATAGATCACACATCATACATCATGGACCATAGATCATACATCATACACCATAATACCTTAATTGTGACGTCGAATATATATCATAGATCATAGGAACATCAACTATGGATTATATATCATAGATCATGTATTACAGATCATACAACATAGGAACATACATCATAGATCACCATGGTTATATATTATAGATGATAGGAACATAGACCATATCATCATGTATCATTTAGGCATTCATCACATGTGTTAGATTATGGACCGCAAGGGTTGCAAGTCATAGATCATAAATAAATGCACCAGATATTATAATAGTATATATCGTATATCATGATTCATTGATCACATGTCTTACAAGATTTACGTTAGGGTCCTATGATGGAGTTTCATTTTATATTTTTGTTGTTTTTAAAAATAGCGATAGGAAAAATCTGTTTCCTTCGCCTTTAGCCAGAAAAGGGAAAAGACACACTTCATTGCACTGTTGGTTTTCTTGATGGCAAACAAAGAGAGAAAATATATGAAATGTTGGCAATTCAGAAGTTCGACCTCGTTTAATGACATCCGCGGAATTATCGCGAATAACTAACCTAGTTCAATGACATCGGCAGAATTATCGCGAATAATCAGTTACCTAATTGGAAAAGGACTCCTAGACTTTTTACTGTTGCTGCCTGTACCGTCACAGTTTTTCTACACTCCCATTCAATGGTTCGACAGTTCGACATGTTGAAACCGGTGTCCACAACTCTCTACTCTCGCTACCGGTCTCAAATGGTCAGTCTGAATCCTTTCCAAATTGTTGTGTTGAACTAACACCCTGTGCCGCGTGATTCAACTTACATTGACATATATACAATTGTAAAAACGAAAAGTTCTCTCACCTCGATGCTACACAGTCCAATGCGATACGGTGTCTGATACGCTTTATATCATCCATGCTGAACTGGAACGGTGGCAAGTGACTTCTCGCCAAAAGAGATGCATACGCAAGCATAAACACCCCGCATTGATTTATGTCCTTCTGTTTTGGAATGCCGCTGACCCGCAATTTCTGTTTGAAGCGATTGGTGTCCACTTCCATTCCCTGTTCTGATGATCTGTCCTTCACATACCGTGCCACATTGACGACTACCTTTTTGGCTACGTCTATGTCTGTTTCCATCGAGTCGTAATACTCGATGACTCTCCGTCTGATATCTATCACAACAAGTGTCCAATGCCTCTTATGAATGCTGTGATACGGGGCTAAGATCATGTCTTTCTCCACGATCACTACTTCCTTGAACCACTTACCTACTTTATCATAGTGATATCCTAACTTTTCATCCATGAGCTTGACCAGAAAAAAAGAGTTGCATATTGTTGTCTTAGGAATCAAACCTCGGGTGTCTGCAACAGACGTGTTTGATGGCGTATCGCACTCACGATGTGTAGTTCTACATATATTGTCTACCCTTATCATGTTCATGTAGAAATTCATAATATCATCTGTTAACCATCGTGTGTCACTCATGAGCACACCGAAGTCCTGGAACGTGAACCTTAACTCCTCTTGCGTCCCTGGATTCTTTGTGCTTGATAATATTTGGTAATTGTTGAACTTTGTTTCCAAGTGGCGCAAGGCATCTTCTTCGACCTCGGTCAGAGTATGCGTCACTAATTGAATACTCCATCCGTGTCTACAGCAGCGAATGCCTTCGACATGTGATCTCTGTTCCACTGCACATGACAATGGAATTGTTTGTTATTAACATGTGATCGCATGAAATCACAAGTTGTACGTACATAAGGTGAATTTTTATATTTCCTATGTTCATGACGCATGAGATGATTACGGCAAGAGAGAGAGAGAGAGAGAGAGAGAGAGAGAGAGAGAGAGAGAGAGAGAGAGAGAGAGAGAGAGAGAGAGAGAGAGAGAGAGAGAGA